CGTCCATATTTCAAGCTATTTCTATAGTGACGCTATGCATAGAGAACCCCACATGATGTAGGTACCTATGTAGCCTTGAAGAGTGGGTAGTTAGTGACTTGTATTACTTAATTAGATGGCCAAATGGTTGGGGAAGACAATAATGTTATTTCCAACCCGTATTTTCAAGTATTTCCATCCCAAAATGCCCCGCTCCCAAATGTGCCGTCCATATTTTCAAGCTATTTCTATAATGACGCTTTGCATAGAGAACCCCACATGATGTAGTGTACCTATGTAGCCTTGAAGAGAGGGTAGCCAGTGACTTGTATTACTTGATTAGGTGGCCAAATGGTTGGGGAAGACAATAATGTTATTTCCAACCCGTATTTTCAAGTATTTCCATCCCAAAAATGCCCCGCTCCCAAATGTGCCGTCCATATTTCAAGCTATTTCTATAATGACGCTTTGCATAGAGAACCCCCATGATGTAGTGTACCTATGTAGCCTTGAAGAAGGGGTAGTTAGTGACTTGTATTACATGATTAGATGGCCAAATGGTTGGGGAAGACAATAATGTTATTTCCAACCCGTATTTTCAAGTATTTCCTTCCCAAAAATGCCCCGCTCCCAAATGTGCCGTCCATATTTCAAGCTATTTCCATAGTGACGCTTTGCATAGAGAACCCCCCATGATGTAGTGTACCTATGTAGCCTTGAAGAGTGGGTAGCCAGTGACTTGTATTACTTGATTAGATGGCCAAATGGTTGGGGAAGACAATAATGTTATTTCCAACCCGTATTTTCAAGTATTTCCATCCCAAAAATGCCACGCTCCCAAATGTGCCGTCCATATTTCAAGCTATTTCTATAATGACGCTTTGCATAGAGAACCCCCCATGATGTAGTGTACCTATGTAGCCTTGATCAGGGGGTAGTTAGTGACTTGTATTACTTGATTAGATGGCCAAATGGTTGAGGAAGACAATAATGGTATTTCCAACCCGTATTTTCAGGAATTCCCATACAATATATGCCCCGCTCCCAAATGTGCCGTCCATATTTCAAGCTATTTCTATAATGACGCTTTGCATAGAGAACCCCCATGATGTAGTGTACCTATGTAGCCTTGAAGAGGGGGTAGTTAGTGACTTGCATTACATGATTAGGTGGCCAAATGGTTGGGGAAGACAAAATGTTATTTCCAACCCGTATTTTCAAGTATTTCCTTCCCAAAATGCCCCGGCTCCCAAATGTGCCGTCCATATTTCAAGCTATTTCCATAGTGACGCTTTGCATAGAGAACCCCCCAAGATGTAGTGTACCTATGTAGCCTTGAAGAGGGGGTAGCCAGTGACTTGTATTACTTGATTAGATGGCCAAATGGTTGGGGAAGACAATAATGTTATTTCCAACCCGTATTTTCAAGTATTTCCATCCCAAAAATGCCCCGCTCCCAAATGTGCCGTCCATATTTCAAGCTATTTCCATAGTGATGCTTTGCATAGAGAACCCCATGATGTAGTGTACCTATGTAGCCTTGATCAGGGGGGGGTAGTTAGTGACTTGTATTACATGATTAGGTGGCCAAATGGTTGGGGAAGACAATAATGTTATTTCCAACTCGTATTTTTAGGAATTCCCATACAATATATGCCCAGCTCCCAAATGTGCCGTCCACATTTCAAGCTATTTCTATAGTGACGCTTTGCATAGAGAACCCCATGATGTAGGGTACCTATGTAGCCTTGAAGAGGGGTAACCAGTGACTTGTATTACATGATTAGGTGGCCAAATGGTTGGGGAAGACAATAATGTTATTTCCAACCCGTATTTTCAAGTATTTCCATCCCAAAAATGCCCCGCTCCCAAATGTGCCGTCCATATTTCAAGCTATTTCTATAATGACGCTTTGCATAGAGAACCCCCCATGATGTAGTGTACCTATGTAGCCTTGAAGAGGGGGTAGCCAGTGACTTGTATTACATGATTAGATGGCCAAATGGTTGGGGAAGACAATAATGTTATTTCCAACCCGTATTTTCAAGTATTTCCATACAATAAATGCCCCGCTCCCAAATGTGCCGTCCATATTTCAAGCTATTTCTATAGTGACGCTATGCATAGAGACCCCACATGATGTAGGGTACCTATGTAGCCTTGAAGAGAAGGAAGCCAGTGACTTGTATTACATGATTAGATGGCCAAATGGTTGGGGAAGACAAAAATGTTATTTCCAACTCGTATTTTTAGGAATTCCCATACAATATATGCCCCGCTCCCAAATGTGCCGTCCATATTTCAAGCTATTTCTATAGTGACGCTTTGCATAGGGAACCCCCCGTGATGTAGTGTACCTATGTAGCCTTGAAGAGGGGGTAGCCAGTGACTTGTATTACTTGATTAGATGGCCAAATGGTTGAGGAAGACAATAATGGTATTTCCAACCCGTATTTTCAAGTATTTCCATCCCAAAAATGCCCCGCTCCCAAATGTGCCGTCCATATTTCAAGCTATTTCTATAGTGACGCTTTGCACAGAGAACCTCCTGGTGTAGGTAAGGAGTAGGGATTGATTCTTTTTACTTTTTCAGAATAGAAAAATGATGAAAAGTAGCTACTCTTAATCTGTAAATTAGAAGAACAAGAAGGTTTTGGGAAGTATATTTGAACTGAGAACTACTGCCAGTACCAGCTCCACTTACTTGCGAACACACACACACACACATGTACACACATCGTGTATTATTGTCCTAATTTGTTCTTTCAGCAATCATTAGTTAAGTATGTATTTGTTAGCTTTCAAAACTGCTTCGCTAACACGTTTATAGCTCGCCTAATTTCTGTCTGTCGCACTGAATATATTGCCGTGCAGCAGCAACTGGAGTTCATTTAGAGATGAGGTTTCAGATTACAGATGTGGTGTCATCAGTAGGCTTTAAGGTGTTGACGGGACAGGGCGTATGGTTACTATCAGAAGCACTGCGCACGTAGGCGTCGCGGTAAGGCATAGCCGGGAAGGGGGAGCTAGGGGGGTGAATGTTAGAATTATTAATCTCATAAAACAATAGTGTTGTGTTGTATCAGTCCAGTATAACTGCCGCTTGTTTTAAATTGTGGAAACCATTGGTCATCCAAACATAATATTTCCACTGTCACTATAGAACACTGATTTTTAACAGAAGAAATTATAACTCACGTGTAAATTGGTTATTGAGAATATAGTAGAGCAATAAAGTAAATCCGAGAACTTAAAAAGCAAAACACAGATATGATACTGACAAACTGTAAAGTGAAGGAATTGTACTTAAATATAATTGAGAGATGGTATTATTTACAGTAGAACCAAAATATAAGAATAAGCAGGTGAGATGTACCAGGATATAGTGACAAAAGATGTAACATGAGAACAGATATTTATAAACAAACAAAAATATTATGAACAAACAAAAAATAATATAACCTTAGGAATGCTAACAATATTATTCTAGGTTAAGACTTTCATATGATTCCTTTTTCCATAAACTGTAAGAATGTGGAATAATATTTCCACCGAAAGAAATCGACCTTCATTACAAAGTTTCAAGTCGTACTTAAAGTGCGAGCAACCTGTAGATCCATCATATTACTCGTTTTGGTGTTAGAAAATTAAATATTATACACACAAAGTTGAGATATATGACTAGTCAGCTAAATTATGATCTGTATCGTTTCAACAGGGCAGATTCTGTGGCAATACTTGTGAAAATGTACATCACTTCCTATTAGAAGAATGAATGAATACGTTTTTAAAGGTGTGCAAACCTTTATTTATCAATCAAAACATTTTGTGTGATCACATGAGTTGTATCCCTTCCTTTACTTAACTTTCCTATCTCTTCTCTCTATTCTTTCCTAATATGTAAAGAATTGAAAATGTATGTATGTAAATATTAGAGAGCGGGTATTTTAAGTTGGAATACTTGTCCCCAATCCCTTTCACATTTGTGAATAAAATATGTTTAAATCAAATCAACAGATATAATATATGTGAATAAATATAATAATAAGATTAACATGGAGTTCTATACTTTGGGAAGAACCTGTGCAAGTCTAGGTCTCTCGACCCTAGTCTATATAAGATAACGGACAGTCTCGCCGCAACACAGCTGTTTCTGAAGTGGTGTCTAAACAATAACACTGCGATATGTGTCAGGTCACTGGCTCTTCTGAGTGGCACATGTGCCGTTCATTGCATGAGCCTTCCCTATATGTTGAGCGGTCCAATATCATTTGCAGCGGACCGCAAATTTCTGATAATGGGAGGGCCGTTTCATGATAATTTCATGTATTTTAGCTATAATGACCCGACGTACATTATCGGACCGATGAAGTTTTGCTTATGGGATCGACGCTAAGGTGACCGTAACTCCCATACCTTAACATAGACTTAAGGTAGTCTTAGCGCTAAGGTTGTTTTGTACAACGGCACCCAGGGCTCCGTTGTTCAAAACAACCTTCGCTGAAAGTTCGGCCTTAGTTAAGGTTACGGCTAAGGTTCGAGTCCGAGTTAAAGGTTGCCCTAAGCGCCTAAGGTTGTTTTGTGCAACAGGCGTAATTTTTCTTAAAAGGTGATCGTAACTCTAACCTTAGTGTTTGAGGTTGACGTTATAGCTAAGGTTGTTTTGAACAACGAAACCCAGAGCCAAGCCCATTTGAGCCGTGCCGACTCCTCTTACATGCGGTGTTAGGAGCTCGATGGACTTTGCCCCTGTGACTCCAAGATGGCAGTGTTTGTGTAGGCTCAGCTGTTTCGAGCCCTAATAGCAGTCGTCAGAGATAAGTGCACATATTGTCAGAGTGCGATCATGGCTGCTCTTCTGAAATCATGGCGAGAGGCCGCTACTCTGATTCTTGTTTCAGCAAACAGATGCCGCGGTCGTATAACTTTTAAACCAGTGGGCTCAAGTCAGACGACCGCTGAACCAAAGGGAGATAACTTTGAGACACTGATGCTGAAAAGAAGCAGCAAGTCAACCTTTTATGCCTAATCTCTATGTCTTCCCGGGCGGAGTAGCAAGTGATGCAGACTTTTCTAAAGAATGGTACGACATATTAGGTCAAGCTGGCGAACTTTCAAGGTCCAACCTGTTCAATTTTGTGAAGGGAAATGGACCAGGGGCACCGATGTTTAATCGAATTCGAGATGCAGAATTCACTACAATACCCAGTGAAATAGCTTTCAGGATATGTGCCATACGAGAAACGTTTGAAGAATCGGGCGTTCTGCTAGCGAGAAATGTTTCCGACATGAAGCAAACGACTGTGATTAATGTAGACTCTCCAACATACGGCAATGCATTGAAATCAGATTCAAACATTAATACTTGGAGGAAGAGAGTTGAAGAAAACGCTTCAGAATTCATCACAATGTGTCGTGATATGAATATTGTACCAGACGTGTGGTCACTGTATGAGTGGTCAGACTGGCTGACACCAGCCCAGGAGATCATTCTTCATCGTAAACCCAGAAGATACGACACAGCCTTCTTTCTGTGTTGTGTGGACGAAAAACCAGATGTGGCTGAGGACAAGGGAGAAACTGTCCATAGTCAGGTACGAATAATGAACAATGATGAAGAGGAATCTGACAATTTGATGTTTATGATGAACAACTATTGTCATGCTTATAGCGTCATCAAGTACGTTTCATTTGACCAAGCATTGTGTCTTCAGAGCTTTCAGTCATGGGTTTTGTTTGTTTAATGCAGCGCTCAGCAATATTCCAGCTTATAGGATGGTGATCTGCATTAAATTGAGTCTGGACAAGTCAGCAAGGCCACCCGATCCATGAAGGGTCTTTGTCGGCACGGGTACTGCCTATGTGTACCCGAGGTACGTTTCTTTATACAGAGGGATCGGGTGGTGAGGTTCGCTGACTTGGTTGACATGTTATCGGTTCCGAATTGCGCAGATCAAAGTAGAGGTCAGTTACAGTACCGGACAAGATCCATTAAAAGTTTCCGTGGTAACTGCTCATGGGATGGAAGCCTATTCTACCCTCAAACAATTTTGTTCCCATGTAGATCTGGGTTAGAATTGGTCTGCAGCAACCCATGCTTGTTGTAAAAGGTGACTAACGGGATCGGTTGGTCAGGCTCGATGACTTGGCTTGCAAATATTGCTTAAATCGATACTCGCCGACTTGGTTGACATGTCATCATATCCCAGTTGTGTAGACAATGGTGTTGCTTACTGGATTGTCTGGTCCAGATTCAATTATTTACAGACCGCTGCCATATAGCTGGAATATTGCTGAGTGCGATGTAAAACTAAACACACTCACTCATTCTTTATACAGAAATTACCATAGCCAAAATCAGAATACAGAACGCGTACCCTAGAACGATTCCATTCTGCATTGTGCCCTTTTCTTGATCAGAACTGTCATACTGTTGTATTGGATGCATTTGATTGCATTATGTAAGAAACAAGTATACAAAGTAAGGAATATTACTTGTAGCACTTTATCACTCGCAATCAGTTGAACGGGAACAACTACATAACGGCTTCAGTTTTGGGTTGCAGAAGATGGACTCGTCCGCTGTGTAGGGTACTGGCAAGTGCGTTTCTGTATTTTGACATTGTTTTACGGTACATTTCTGTATACAGGTACATATCTGCCGACAACTAGTTGTACCCCAGTCACCTTTTACGACAAGCATGGCTTGCTGAAGACATATTCTTACCCAGAATTTCACGGTTATGCATCCATCGGAGTGATGCCAATTTACACTTGTCAGAGTGGAACACAAAGTATGTGATCTTGACTACCAGTTGATAGACTTCCATTTTTGCGGACCTAACAGTGGCTGAGTGGGTTACCATTTCAGCTAACATCAGTCTATACAATAGCAGTGTATGAAATAAGCCAAAAACCCAGCCAGACATCTGGGCTGGTAAGTTAACCAGTCCTTCTTAAATACCAAATAGACAGTAGTGGCGGTCCGATTAATTGAAATAATCGAAGATTGGTCGCAGTGACTAAACGACCAACCAATCGATCATGTTTTCTCATAATCGAACACAAACAATTCTGGAACACTTGTTTTCATTAACACTATTTTTCACAAGGTTGGTTTTGTCTGTTACATTTCATAAGCACTACAAGCTTGTTCCAAGTCATGATTGAATTTATCTTAGACTCCAAGAAATTAATGTTCCTAACCTACTAGTCATCCTTGAAAGATGTGAAATTTGCAAATGCATTTTGTGCAATTTGCAAAAACACCAAAGAATTACAAGTTTTTTTCTTTATTTTTTTTGTCCATTAACAAAAATAATCAGGAAAATTTCATATATGACGCTAACCAATTATTTTCGATGATTGATCGGTTGTAATGAACCAATCATCAATCATGAGATTTTAACCAATTCCCAGCACTAATAGACAGTGCCAGTGGACACGTTATCTGAATATATTTTTTTCACTCGTCCATCGGGCTGGATAGCTTTAAAATTAGACCGTCCGGCAGAAATCTAGCCCGTCTCGGGTGGTCAGACGGACCTTATTTCATACACTGACAATAGAATGTATAACCTTCTTAGAATCGTCTGGATTTTATGCCACTAGTGTAAATTTTTAACTGTTATATATTAGGAGTTTTTATTCAAAATAATGTTTTTGTTACAGTGGGGATCTCCACTGAATATTTTGCTGGAATTTGAAAGAGGATGGGCAGGCATAGCACCACCTCAGATGTACGAACTGGCTCGTTTGCTGAACATTGGCAGTATGGAGGAATTGGTTCACTTCTGCTGGTCACGGGAACGGTCAGGGAACAGAATTGAACGATGGCTTCCTGTCAGATTTGAATGTGCAGACGCAGTCCTGTACCTTATGCCTGGTGAGTTGATTTACTCAATCAGTTAGTTTTAGATTTACAGGTCACACTGTGCCCAAAACTTTTCGACTCAACTGGTCCCTGGTCATCATTTTGTAATAGTCCGCTTATATATGGCGCTCATATCCAGTGACATTGCCTGCTCACGGCAGTACAGACATTACTATCCCCGGTCATAGGACACTGACGTACATTCTGATACTTTTTCAACTCCCTAAAGATTATACAGCCATGCTGCCTGTTAGGCGCAATGAGCTAAGCACTCACATTGCCAGCACATCCTCACGGGTACAAATTTTACAGCCGGGTGAACTGAGACAATGTGGATCTAAGTATCTTGTCCAAGGATACTACATAAATGTGCCCACCTCGGGACCCGAACCTAGGTGCCTCCACCAGGGATCGAACCTGGGCCTTTAGGGACTGTTCATAATTTATGGCTAGGGGGTTGATGATGATTTTAAGGGGGGGTCACCCATTTTTTTCGTGTCGTGTGTGTGTGTGTGCGTGCGTGTGTGTGTGTGTGTGCGTGCGTGCCAGCAATTTTGTACACACGTACTAGGGGGGGTCAGCAATTTTGTACATAAAATTATGTTTAAAATTATATTTTGAAATTATGGGAAGGGAAGGGGTCACTGATTTTGTACACCTACATGCACATAATTTTTAATTTTGTTTTGTTTTGTTGTTGTTGTTTGTTTGGTTTTTTTGGGGCATTCACATTGTACATGCTTCTCCATAAAAATCATCATCACACACACCCACCACCCAGCCATAAATTCTGAACGGTCCCTTAGCGTGATAGGCAGACACCTTACCACTGCACTATTGCGCTCTACCATTTTGAGAAAACCTTTGAGATCATCTACCTTGTGCATAAGGCTACACCCATTCCTGTAATTCAAGCTACTAAAACTTACCTTATATACAGCGATATATGGTAGATCTTAGTGCTGATGCATGAAAATTTATGCCTAAAAGATGAAAGAAATTTTACTAGAATTGGGTTTCCTGTTCAGTGTGCACCGGAACATGATCTGGAAAATTGTGTAAAGGCCACAATTAGGCAAAGTTCCATGAATAAGTCACTGACTGCTCGCAGTCAGTTGAACTTGAAGAAAAGAGATGTTGGTTGTGAAGTGCAGTGGATTGGTCACTGGTTGGATCCTTAACTTTAGTCTTTGGTCCTGTTCCACTCTGATTTGCCTGTTTCATGTGGGTCTCACCTCCTCCGTGGTGTAGTGGTTAGAGCATCCGCGAGAGCGGAAGGTCGCGGGTTCGATTCACGACACCGCCATACCAAAAGACATTAAAATATGGTACTTGTTGGTCCCTGCCTGGCGCTCAGCATTAATGGGTACAACAAGGACTGATCGGCTCGGAGTCGGTATAATGTGTCTGAGTGGGGTATTCATGCTTCACTGTGGCATGGTATCTCAGTGGGCTAGCACTATAAAACCAGCTTCAGTCTGGGCTAGTACAAGCAGCCGCACGTACACATACACACGCATGCACGTCGTCATAAGAGCGAAATATTCTAAGGCACGACGTTAAACCCAATTTCGCCTCACCTCACCTCACCTCACCTCGCCTCACCTCACCTTATGTGGGGTCTCTTGAACCAGGACCCGATTTCTCGAAACAAACTTAAGTTTTTACTCAAATTTCAAACTGAGTTGACAATTTGAATCAGCTGAATTTTAAACTCAACTGCATTTTTTAAATAAAAAAGCCGAAACATCTTAAGTAATCTATCCACCAAACTCAAATTGTCTACTATGTTTGAGTTTATTATCGATTTAAGTTCATTCTGGGAAATGCATTTTCTCAAATTTGAGTTAAAACTCTAACTTAAGTCAAAACTCAGACTTAAGTTTGTTTCCAGAAATCGGGCCAGGTGTCTGAAATATGCCTGTTGATCCACCAGTGAATGGGTACCTTGTAGGATAAGGTTGTAATTTGACTGTTAATCTTCTATTGCCTCATGTTATATCTTATACTCCAAAAGGAGTTGAGAATAGTATTCAAAAGTGCATTGATCTTTTGCCAGGAATATTAATGGCATATGCTGCTTATCATTATTATCATTATTCACATGATTCATCTATCAACTGTCACCTAGCGAGCCATGTAGATCCAGGTTAGAATTGGTCTACAGCAACCCATGCTTGTCGTCAGAGGTGACTAAGGCTCGGTGACATCATCACCATCATCAAAATCTGTATTACGTATGAAGGCCACAGGCCCATATACATATTAATATACATTAGTTGACACATGTCATCTTATCCCAGTTGTGTAGATGGGTGTTCATGTTGTTGATCACTGGATTGTCTGGTCCAGACTCGATTATTTACAGCTGGGTGTGGCATTAAACAACAACCAACCAATCTGATGATGCCAATTGTTGCAGGTGATGAGCTGTACCCAAAGGTGCCGGATATCTACGGAGAAGGGGAAATACTGAAAAGCAGCTTGACGTTGGAGGAATTAGAGCAGAAATACCCTTTACAACACCGAACAGATATGAGGTTGACAGTGAGGGAAAGCGCAAGGGACGTGTCTCCTGCAATATTGAAATGGCAGCAGGACATGTAGCTCCATATGTGGACTTTGCCAATCTTACAATAGAATCCACAGAATCCAAACTGTGAAGTGGTTGGATAATGTTTATCATGTTTATGGTGTGAAAGATGTGAAGTATATTATTATGATTATCACTATGTTAATCAGTCAAAGTCAGTGAGTTGGGTGTTATGCTGCTTTAATATTCCTGTAATATCAATCAAGGGACACCAGAAATGGGCTTCACACATTGTATCCAGAGGCCCAGATAAGCTGCGTGTCAGGGTAAAATATGCATAGAATTACGCATTGAAAATAATTGTTGCGCACCAATTACACATTTAAAAAGGTAGATACGCAAAAAGTTTAAAACAAATGCGTACGGAATATATTTATAAAATTCGCTTGCGTAATGAAAAAGACATTGATTGCTATCAAGTTGTACTGTTAGTATAGGACAAGTGTTGTAATGTCAGTATAGGATGAGTGATTTTTTATGAAATCATTTCCATTATATTTAAGTTGGTTTTGATTAGGTATGACATAAGGCAGAACATACCTGCTTAGTAAACTTGCTCAATGACATAATACTTAGGTGAGTAAAGTGACTGAAATACGCACATATTTGAAAGCAGTGGGTAACGGAAAATGAAATACCCACTCAACATTCATAATACCCACTCCAAACAGTGAGCTAAATCTTATCTGGAGCTCTGGAATCCATTTGGGGAATCAAACCCGGCCCTCAGAGGACGGTGAACGCTTTAAATAACAAGGTTACCCCACCACCATTTTTAATCTGTCAGAATACTACTACTACTACTACTACTAAAATGGGGTAGCTTAGTGGTTAAAAAGACATGACAAAGACCTGGGTTTGATTCCCACATGGGTACAATGTGTGAAGCCCAATTTCTAAATATGGGTGGTGTATGGTATAGATATATAAAAGATAAGTCCAGATATGTCTTCTTGTCAAAAACACCTTTATCTGCACAAGCTCTTTTCACCGCTCAACGGTATAGATATATAAACTCGTTGTATAACATATTTATCCTCTTTTGACTAGGAGTAAAACAAATTGTTAGAAAAAGATAACTGTTAGACCCAAAAGATATCACTGAATTTCAGCTGTACTTTGGCAGGATTTGCTAATGAAGACTAAATTATTAATCAGATTGGCACTGTTGAAAGTTCATAATTGTAGGGACCAATTGATTCCTTAACTTAGGGGGCAGAGGGGTAATGGCCTGCAGGTTTTCCATCTGTCAAATCAATGTACCTTATTTATTAAAATTTTCTAGAGTAACTTTAATGTGCAAACACAATCCTATTTCACCTATCTGTTTATTAGAATAAAATCATTATCGCTGTTGAGTTAAGTGCAACAGTACTCTGCTGCAAGCTCTTAGCAGTGCTTGTAATGTAAACGGTAATGCACCAGGTTTTGCCTGATATTCGCTGTTAATTGTCATGAACTACATTCAGTCTCTGCTAAGCATATATTGTTCCCTGTGTTAACATTCTAGATTATTGTTTATGTTATGTCAGTCATATTTCCTGACAGTGATTTGGGAGTTTGCAAAGAATTCAACTTTTTAGAATTTAGATTTTTGGGAGGGGCAGGGATGTCTAAAAATTTAAGGAATTAGATTTTATATCTGACTCTGAACTTTTGAACAAGTGCCCGCCATGAGGCCAGTCATCAGATGTAGGGAGTTATGTTGCCTACTTCTGTCTCCATGTTATATCCCCACCAGTCAAGCTGAGACTTTCTACATGTACAGTGTATTCAGAGGAGCATCCAGTGAGAAACACTGTTTGACTGGAATAAGGCATTCAATAAAGCTGTGTGATAGTCTCTGTGTTGATTGTTTCTGTAGTTCCTGACCAAATCATTGTAATATTTACATGGGGTGTCTACTCTGCATTGTTCCTGACATCTTGATGCTTGGAGCTGATCTTGGATAAAGGCGTGTTCTCTAGTGGTGGTCCGATTAATTGAAATAATCGAAGATTGGTCGCAGTGACTAAATGACCAAGCAATCGATCATGTTTTCTCATAATTGAACACAAACAATTCTAGCACACTTGTTTTCATTAACACTATTTTTCACTAGGTTGGTTTTGTCTGTTACATTTCATGAGCACTACAAGCTCGTTCCAAGTCATGATTGAATTTATCTTAAAGACTCTAAGAAATTTATGTTCCTCCATACTAGTCATCCTTTAAAGATGTGAAATTTTGCCAAAAAAACCCCCAAAGAACTACATGTTTTTTTCTTTATTTTTTTGTGCAATAACACATTTCATAAATGGCGCTAACCAATTATTTTCGATGATTGATCGGTTGTAATTAACCAATCATCAATTATGAGATTTTAACCAATTCCAAACACTAGTGTTCTCAGGAGATGTCATGAGACTATAAATCTGTTGTACTGATCACACTGTTGTACTGATCACAAGGTTGGTTGATCACACTCTTGTACTGATCACACTGTTGTATTGATCACACTCTTGTACTGATCACAATTACTGTTGTACTTGATCACACTGTTGTACTGATCACTCAGAAATACAAGTATTTGATCAGCTATATAATCATACTGCAAAACATCTCTGGTGTCTCACTTAGTCCTGTGAAACAATTTGTTTCATCACACTGAAGTCTGTGCACAACCATACCATTCTTTGTCCTGTTTCTGACAGCAAGTAATAATTCAGATCCTTTCCTCCGCAGGGCACAACTAAGTCAAGTGTCCTTCCAACTGCACTGCCATTTCACTCTGGCTGCTGTGTGGTCAGTCTTTGTCCAAGAATCAGTAAGTGATCCTTGAGAAACTGTTGATCTTGTTCAATGTCTGGACATTGATTTTACTGAATCTTGCCACAACTGTCCCATGAGTCTTGACCCAAGTTGCAATAAAAGAATAAAGTTTCATCATCTACTGCATCGCCTCATTCCACCCAAGGCATTTAGTTTGAGAGTGTTGATGTAAGATTGAGCACCATTACAAACTGCTCTAAAGAATCAACTCTTGCTATAAATTGAGATTGTAGTTTGTATAATCAACTCCAGCTCCCAGGAGATGGGATTGTAGTCTGTTTAATTTAATTTGAATCTACTTTGGCTCCACAGTGAGACTGGATTCATCCTGACACACAATCCTCGACTTCATATCTCTCCTGTCTTGTTTCCCGACAGGACGCCAGTTATGGAAGCCGAGAGTACACCTGGAAAATACAAGACATTACTCTTTGGGAAGTCTGACACCAACATGTGTTAACCATTCTGTCTTGCCTTGCACCTGTTCTTGCAGGAATAAGAAGCTGAAATCTATAGGCTAAGGCTGTCTTTATTGATACTACAGCTTGCTTCTTCTATGCCACTTTATGACAGAGTGCACTTTGGATTTCAGCTCTCTCTACCCATGAAGGTCCGGGTTAGAATTGATCTTCAGTAACCAATGCTTGTCGTAAGAGGCAACTAACGGGATCGAGTGGTCAGACTTCGCTGATTTGGTTGACACATATCATTGTATTCCATTTATGTGAGATCGATGCTCATGCTGTTGATCACTGGATTGTCTGGTCCAGACTCGATTATTTACAGACCACCCGCCATATAGCTGGAATATTGCTGAGTGCTGCATAAAACTAAACTCACTCAGCTTCTCTCTATGTGACATTGTAGTTCAGGTGCTAGTAGCTTATCAGAATCCTTGTATCTTCTGTGCAACATTTCAGCTGCTGACCAAATCAATAGATTCTCATCCATTTGTCTCAAGGCTCGATAAAAGCCTAAGGTCTAAAGCTTGCATGGGAGTTCAAAACTTTTATCAATGAATGTTCATTGATATATTTGATGTAAACAAACACGATGGTGAGATTCTTATTGTCATACATCATTCTGTTACTTCTGTTTGTAAACACTAACATCTAGTAACCTCAGTGTAAATGTTCATCTATCCAGCATCAGTTGAAGAGATATAAGTGATGTCTTGTGATGTCATAGTCATGGATGATGTCACAATGGTCTGAAAAGCATTGTGATGCAGTGTATTGCATCTCCACATACATACCCAGTCTGTGCATGTTCCTCCAAGGTAGCGTTGGCTGTCTGGGTTGCCAGGTCACAACATGTCCACCTGTGATTTGGCGTCTGCTTCTTGTTCCCCATTGGTGCTTGTCAGTTGATCTGCAACTATAACAGGGTAAAATCATGTTATTACCAACCAAATAAACAATCACAATTTTAGGGTGTAAGTTGGAGAACCCAATCCCATTTACATTTTGTGAATGATCAAATCAAATCAAACCAAACCAGGATAATATGATACTTCAAAATTAAATAGATGAGGGTGGTTATCTGCACAAATATGCAGCTTTGTTTCCACTCTGTATCCGTGATCTTTGGATGAGGCAACAAATATTTTAATACCTATATATCCCGGATGGTGAGTGCACTTGGCAGCCTTAAACAATGGTGTAGTGTAGCCCACCAAACAGTTGAGGCAGCGACTCCCATCCAGTTTGGAGGCGCTCCCTTGTCTGCCATGACGCCTGCAAACACAAACCCACATTCATATATGATGAATTATATACACAAAAATATAGTCATACATTCACTCAGTCCCATGATGCTCCATGTGAGGAGATGACACTTGTGTTGTTTGACATCAAAACTACAGCATTAACATTAAAACCCATAATTATAAATGCTACACAAATGTGCTGTACAGAATAAAAACACCAAAATGATAACCAAGGTATTATCCCTTTTAAGGTCCTGTTCCTCTCCTATGCCATTGCTGCGTTCTTCCAAACTATCACAGAATATATGTTTCCATTTTCCTGATAAACATGATGTAAAACACCAAGGTAGCAGTTTTTGGAATCCCTCCATATCAAACAATAATGGGGTAGGAACGTAACTCTTCCCAGGTTTTATATTGTTGTTACACCCTATTTGAATACTGCCTGTTCATATTTCCTTCTCATATTTCCTGACGTTTGACATCTTCTCATTGATGTTGACATCTGTACAAATAGAATAAAAGAACATAACAGTCAGTTTCTTCTGTACATTCACACCTATTCCACTACCTGTATACTATTAATGTTTTGACTTGTCGCTACACAGGCGTACAGGTTGTTCCACAATGTTTCCCAATGGATTTTTGGCTCGGAACATATACAATGTTAACTGCAATAATATTCTTGCCACAATCTACATGAACCTTAACTGCATAAAACTGAACACAATTCACTTCTTAATACACTTGCCTTGATGTATACATATAATTTCAATTGTGCAGTTTCATTGTAATTATGGAGTTGTAATCACCGAACGGGCTGAGATGTTTCGTTGCTGTTGCAGACAAGTATTCTTCACCTGTCCGATTTCCAACTCGATAGGTAAATATATTGTCAGATTTGAAGGCAAGTGTCCAAAGAAAAGAATCATTTAGAAACCATTTTGAACAAAAACGTGACCTATATATTAATGACTAACATATATGAACTTTTAAATGACATAACATTTCATGAAATCAACACTTGCAGTTTCTTCCTATTCCATCGCACACTGTATTCGAAAGACACATAGAAAATTGACAAATAGACCTAATTAGAACAAAATGCGAGATAAATTTATACGAGTTAAATTTGTTAACAAATTTAGTTTAAACATGAAAGAAACTGAAATTGACTTGACAATTACATCAGGTGCTTGATTGGCATTTTAGAAGATGATATTTGATGAACATAGAGATTTTCTGGGTTACAATAAAAAGAAGATGTAACCCAGAAAAATCTCTATGTTCAATTACATCAGGGTTCGAAATACCCCATATATTAGCATGCCATGGCACAGTAAATACTGAAATGGCAGGGATAAGAAACGTTCTTGGTGCCCTCAAGGCACGCCTAAAGTTTTAGAGACATAACTCACCTCTAGTCATTTAATCCCCAAAACAAAACACTTACGCAATGACAAACAGGCAGAAACATTTATTGACTTTATCGCCCAGGAAATCACTGGAATTATGATGGATGATATAAAAAAATCTGGTTGTTTTTCCATTTAGAGTGATGGGAGTACTGATAGTTCAAGTATTGAGGAGGTAATTGTGTATGATTGATATATTGAACAAGTGAACCTGTCACAAAATTCTTCAAATTATCATCATCATTGCTACAGCCATTTATTTTGAAAAAGATGTGGGCACACTTGATTTCTGAAAGGCACACTTAAAATCTTTGCCTGGTGCCCTAAGGCACACTTAAAAAAAATGTATTTCTATCCCAGTACATTGACCTTTGCATGGATATTTTTCTATGAATACTGTGTAACATGTACACAAGAAAGTATGGACTGTGATACTTAGATATTGGTTTAGAAGTTATTCAGAGAGTGGTTACTGTGGTTATGTTAGCAGGCTGATTTATATGGCAGTGAAGATCCGTTAGCATTGGTCTTCAGTAACCCATGCTTCTTGTAAGAGGCGTCAGGCTTTGACTTGTTTGACACATGTCATTGTATCCCAATTGTGTATTTTGATATTCATGTTGTTGATCAATGGATTGTCTGGTCCAGAATTGAGTATTTACAGACCGCTGCCTGCCATATAGCTGGAATATTGCTGAGTGCGGCGTAAAACAATGAACAGACAAAACAGGAAGTAGAAATGTTATGTAACTGTGGACAGACTTCAAATTCTATTTACCTTTTGAATGGTGCGCTTTTTCCTGACTGCCCTTTCACCCTTTCTCCGATAGTACTCCAGCCGCCTGATAGAAAGATCACATCATCTGATATTAAAGTTCAAAATGTCTTCTTTTAAAAGACAGAATTCTAGCCTTAATGTTTAGTGAATCAGTAATTGTTGTTTTAATGCTACATTTGGCAATATTTCTGAGGCTTCAAATAAATGTTTGGACAAGGCAAGCCAGAGGGTGAAAGAATGGGCACCGATCCATGCTTTTTTCGACAAATCTCATTGAAAATGAAATCAGATCTTTCATTTCAGACGATACCTCTCTGCATGAAGATCTGAGCTCACCTCATTGGGAAAACACTTCAGGTGAACTTTCTTTATTGTGGAGGCTCAGTTAGATCTTCACATGGAGAGGTATTGGATCGGAGAAAAACATCTGATTTCAGTTAGAGTACAGCAAGTGCAGGTCAGTTACAGCGCCTGACAAGATCCATTAAAGTTTCCATGACAACTGCTCATGGGATGGAAGCATATTCTAACCTCAAACAATTATGTTCCCATGTTAGAATTGGTCAGCAGCAACCCATGCTTGCCGCAAAAGGTGACTAACGGGATCGGTTGGTCAGGCTCGCTGCCATGGCTCGCAAATATTGCTTAAATCGATACTCGCCGACTTGGTTGACACGTCATCATATCCCAATTGAGTAGACAACTCGCTCGATGCTCATGCTGTTGATCACTGGATTGTCTGGTCCAGATTCATTTATTTACAGATCGCTGTCATATAGCTGTAATATTACTGAATGCGGCGTTAAACAACAAACAAACAAAAATAAAAAATATAACAAACAAACAATCCATGCACCTACCTTCAGTCGACAGTATTCTCTTTCCACGGCAATCCGATTTGCTTCCTTCACAAGATACTGAGAAACATCCTCCAAATTTAGAGGATTCCGTGCAAGGTATTTGATCTCAGCAGCAATGGTATGGTCTTGTACACTGACAAACTCGACCTTCAGGTTTATTTTACACCCAAACTGTCTCTCTATTTTACGGATATTTTGACCCCTTTGCCCAATAAGAAACCCCATGAAACGACGCTCAGATGTCTTCACTGTAAACCTAGCTGTTTCTGATGTCCAGATGTCCTGGCTAAGCTTGGAGCCATCAGCATTAACATCAACACAATCGATCAGAGCAAAGTCTTGTCGCAGTGCACATTGTAGAAGGTAGATGAGGACGCTTTGCACTTCTACTTCTATGTTGCTCTTTTCCATATGTCGCACCCATACAGATATTCCACAAACTCCCTGGCCTCTATGTTTGGAATGTCTTTGATGGTAAACTCAGACAAGACCTTGTTAAAATTCTTTGGAAATTTTTCTGTAACAGGAAAGGATAAAAATCTGACAAATGTGATGAAATATCTCTCATGTAACAACCATGATGGATGGTGTTTTCCATGACATAAATCGATTCAATTAACTTCACAATCCAAACTACAAAATACATATAACAAACATGCTTTACATAAATGTTTTTTAGGCCCCAGCCACTTGCCAAAATTGACAGTTGCAAAACTTGAAGGTAATTACCTGGAGCTTTACAGGTACACACAAGCTTTTGAACTTGGCAAGGTAGATGACAGGTACGATATTCCCTCTTATTTGATTGATGAAGTATTGAAAGCTGCCTCTCCATCGTTTGTCATGGTAGAGACAAACGTTTTTTGGGGTCATCACCTCCTTTACTTTGCATTGTAAAAAGTCGTGGTAGGCTTGTCTCATACCTAATTTTGCTGAAATGGAGAAGATGAGTTGTGAGTGAGTATGTTTTAAGCTACTTTTAGCTTTTAGCAATATTTCCAGCAATATTACTGCAGGGGACACCAGAAATGGGCTTCATACACTGTACACATGTGGGGAATCGAACCTGGGTCTTTGGCGTGACGAGTGAACGCTTTAACCACTAGGCTACCCTACTTCCTATGATTAATAACAAGTGCTGGTTATCGCCCACAATATGCAGATAGATAATCAGGGATTTACATGGACTCCTGTATTTGAGGGTCCCTGGGACTCATACTCTTAATTTTCAGGGGTCCTGGGCAACAAAATTGGGGTCAAACACTTAAATATTATTATTAAAACTGTTATTGTATTGTGGATCATGATCATCACTTAAATTGTTACGACCTCGTGAAGGTCTGGGTTAGAATGAGCCTTCAGTAACCCATGCTTGTCGTAGTAAGAGGCTTAACTAACAGGATCGGGTGGTCAGGCTCACCGACTTGGTTGACACATGTCATCGGTTCCCAATTACGCAGATCCATGCTCATGCTGTTGATCACTGGGTTGTCTGGTACAGACTCGATTATTTACAGAGCCACCATATAGCTGGAATATTGCTGAGGGTGCATGTAAAACTAAACTCACTCACTCACTTAAATTGTTACAGTAATCAAATTGCAAATGTTACCATAACTCAGCTAGTAGCAAACTCAGTGATAACTTATTGTTACTTGATTGGAATTTTTACAAAAGTATTTGGACTTTTTCTGAGTCCCTGTGGACTCTCTTATCAATTTTGTTGCGTCCATTGTCAATTTTATGTGTATAGGATGCAGGAATTTGCATCTTGTAAAATCATGTCGTCAATAATAGGACACAATTGTAACATTATGCAAATATTAATTAATACTTGATCAAGACGATTGTTGATACTTCCTGTTGAGACACACATGCAAGTATGTTGTTTACATTGCTGTTTCATGAGTCAGGAAACTACATCAGTTGTTACCCGTGAAGATCTGGGTTAGAGTAATGATCTTCAGTAACCCA